CGAGAGTGGGACATGGAAGCATCAACATACATACCGAGATCTTTCTCGTAATCAGCTACCTTTATTTCAGTGGAACCCATAAAATATCTGTACAAATGTTTCAGTGACCATGTCAATCTCAAGAGAGCCCGAATTATGCAGGATTTTCACCCCATTTCTGACCCCCCGATTTGTATTGCTTTAAATCAGGGGTGTCGAACTGTTGTCCTGGAGGGCCGCAGCCCTGTGTAACTTAGTTCTTTCCGTTCCACCACTAATGATTCAGCTCAACAGCTATGTGGTAATTAGCACAAGAAGCTGAATCAGGTGTGTTAAACGAGGGGTAACCCAAAAATGTGCAGGGCTCTGGCCCCCCAGGACTGAAGTCTGACACCTGTGCTTTAAATAGAAAGTGAACTAAAGTGTGTGAGTATATGTATATATATATATATATACATATACATATACATATACTTTCTTAAGTAAATAATTATGCAAGCCTCTCAACTAGCGTTTTACTAGCTGGGGTAAAGCGACTTCTGATTTGGTGACGCAATAAGGCTGCGACCGGGCTCCACGTGAATTCCTGATAGCTATGGCCGCTCTCGCAGCTTGTGAAGATTGGGTTGTGGTGACCAGTGGTAAAAGTCTAATTGCAGTTTCGATTAAATCAGAGAGGTTGGTGCAAGTTTGCAGGTTATTTAAGAAACGTTAATATTAGTCTGCTTAAAATGCAGTTGTTGAAAGTATTCTTGAGAACTGTGCGATGCCAGAGTATTTCAGCTTTATTTGAATGACATTCGCTTTATGTATGTTTCACCGGTGTCTTTGATTATCAGAGAACCATTCCTCTACGACTGTAGCAAGGCGGAGCAAAAGCCTAAAGACAGCAATAATAAAAGGTAACTCATCTATTCGTGAATCTCTGTTCATATTGCTGAGTTTAAGGGACTTTCTCAAATGTATTTAAATGTATTTTGATGCTAAGCCTGTTGTCATTTAACTTAAGTGAAGAAGGTGGATCGGAAGAGAGCAGTACCGACAAGATCTTAGCTTTCGCTATTTCCTCCTGCGGGAAGTTCTGTGCGTTAACGGATGACCGCAAACGCCTAGTTCTGTTCCGTACTGAACCGTCCTGGCATTGTGTCAGTATCAGGTAATGACCATTTTATCTGATGCTATTTTGAATCACGGTCGCTTTTTAGAGCCGATTGATAGTCCTCCGTCGTCGGCTTCGCAGGCGGGTTGTGCGGCGATGCACGTCTTTGGTGTTCACCGAGGCCGAAGATGAGATTTTGGTGGCGGATAAATCTGGTGATGTCTACTCCTTCTCTGTACTGGAGCCCGAAAAGGAGGGCCAGCTCAAGCTGGGGCATCTCTCCATGCTGCTGGCTGTGGTAAGGAACCCCAGGCTGACCTTGCAGAATATACCACCAGGGTAAAATCACCGTAGTCATGTATTGTAAATGGTTAAACTGTCTTGAATTCACGTTTTTTGTACTTTATTGGTGAATTTTGTATGCAGGAAGTTAACTAATGTAAGTAATATGTTCTGCACACCCTAACATAAACCAAATTTTCCTTAAGTAGGATTTACCTTCCCATACCATTCAAGACACGTTGTAGCAAAAAACGCAAGCCAGAAACTTTTAACCTGAGAACTGCCTGTACTGCTGATATCCATGCCATTAAAAGCTCTGGCCCTTCTCTTGGTATCTATGCTGCTGTAATTCATATAACACACTCTTCATTACTTCCTACCTGTTACCTTTTCAGGCTGTAAGCAACGACGACAAGTATGTAATCACAGCTGACCGTGACGAGAAAATTAGGGTGAGCGTCCTCAAGTCGCCCCACAACATCCAGTCGTTCTGTTTGGGGCATCGAGAGTAAGTGCTTACCACTTTGTGTTGGTACATCTTAATACTGGCACACACCTGCTTAACGTAAAAGTGACTGGCACTGGTAGGGTTTCTTTGTAGTGTACGTACATTTGGCATTCATGTATAAATGTTCCTGCTTTTCTGTAGGTTTGTCAGTGCTTTGTGCACCTCTGCTCTGCATCCCGATTGGCTGATGTCTGGCTCTGGGGTAAGACCGTCATCCTTATCTTGTGGGCACCGAGCTTGGCGCCATATCTCTGTATTTGAAGTGGGGGCTCATTCATTCCAAAGTCTGTGTAAAACAGTCTCTGCTGTCTAACTATAATTAGCCCACCCCCGCCTCGTGTTCAGGATGGGACAGTGAAACTCTGGGAGTATGAGACTGGCCTACAGCTGCAGAGCTTGGACCTGAAGGAGCTTGCAGGGATGTCACCCTCAAACACCAAGGCAGGTGTAGTGAGTCGCCCACATCTGCTCACATCTGATTGGGAACAATCTGAACATCTTGTATATTTTCCCTCATGATGTTCCTGTATGTGTCACTATGAACTTCTTGTTCAATGTGCATTTTGTTCAGCGTCTGAACAAAATTTTATTTCTTTAGTATGAAATGCCCTGTGTGTGTTTCTCCTTTTCTCCCTCCCCTTTGGCCCCCAGAGGTTTGCCATCTCCAGGGTCGTGGGTTCACCAGATGGTAACGTGGCAGTGCTGTGTGAAAGGTTAGTCTGGGTCTCACTATCCACTGCAGCACAGCTGATCTATTTTGTTTCCACGGTTGCAGTTTCCTATCAGAGATCTGGAATCATCTGGCTGTTTGTGTTTTTTTTTTCCTTCTATTTATGAAAAGCTATAGCTAATATAAGGTGGTGTTGGCCATAATGGGCAGCTAACGTGAGATGGTGCATAGCCACTAGGAGGCACTGTTGTCATGATGGCTCTATGGTGTCAGTGTTCCTGCAGTGCATCTGTTCCGGGCCGAGGTGGAAACGGAGCAGAAGCTCATACCTTCAGAAACACTGATGCTCCCTCACTGTGCCTGGGATCTGACCTTTGACCCCAGGGGTCACCTCTGGGTCCTGCTGGAGAGCCAGGACCAGCCCATTCTGCTATATACACACACACAAGATGGCTGGGAGGTATATAACCCACACATACACTCAAACATGCACGCAGGCTGGATGAAATGTCATACAGCATGGCGCGCTTTGTCGATTTTAAACCCTCACTTTTCCCATGATGCAGTGTGAACGTCAGAATCCAGAGCTGAAAATGGTGATGGAGGCGCTACAGAGCCACTGGGATATGTTCCTGGGTGAGATTTTGGCCATTTAAATGGCACAAGGGTGATGTCTAGTCTGTGGCCTGCAAGTGAAGCTGGTTCTCTGAAAAGCAGCAGGGTGAAACATGGCAGCTACCAATAGGGTGGGTGCTATGCTAGGAATAGGACTGTCAACATAGAGGTGTGTAGCGTGTGATTGTACGTAAGTATGAGCCCTGCGCTTAGCGACTGACACACTTGCTAGGGATCTCCCCATCCTGTGTCCCCCGTCAAGGGGTCCCCCTCTGCCTGAAGCATGTACTGCTTTGGGATGTATAGTGATGTTGGGACACTCATGTGCTTTTTGACCTCTCACTGCTGCTTTTCCTCCCCTCCCCAGACTCGCTGCACATGGAAAGTCCTTTCAAGCACCTGTACAAGGTGAACTTTGACAATATGGCCTCTTACCTGCAGAAGAAGCAGGAGAGAATCCAACAGCAAGAACAAAAGGGGGGCAAAAAGAGGGTGGGGCAGCTGCGTCAGTCCAACGGCGCGAAGAAGAAGGCCAAGTTGGACACGGCCACAGCTGTCTCACACGATTCGGGCTGAGACTGGTGGGGTCCTGGGGTGGTGCTGAATGTTTTGGTTTTATGGAAGTGATGGAGGCATCTTGACAAACAAGGCTGAAAGTTAAAGGCATGCCTACAGAGTACCTGACAGATATTTTTTTTATGCTGCTGCAAAATAAGATTGCATGCATTAGAATGCTGTAATTAAATGTGTATTTGTATGACTCCAAACTTTGTCTATAATTTCTAGCTGTGTGCAGGTACAAATGCTTCTGTAAGCCGATCTTCATTTTCCATCTGTGTTCTGTGCCAGAATGCTCATTTGTGCTTTTACTTAATTGGTTGCCTGGGGCGACTGGGAGGCTCAGTGGAAAGAAACCAGTATGCCGTCAGCTCAGCACCCTCACTCCGTTTGGCTGGGGGGTGGAGTAAATTTGAACCCCCTGTCTCGGAGGTGTGAAGTGTCCTAACTGAAGTCGGGTGCTGTACCAAACGCCCCACTGGTGAGAGACAGTGAGCAGGCCCTCACTGCCGGGGGGTCGTATTCAATAAGAGCTGCTGCTCTTGCATGGGATTTCCCCACGGCCCATAGGTCATCCATCTGCTGTAGAGGGACCTGCATTATTTTCCTACTGCTGGTTTTCCCATCAGTCACTGCAAGCTGTTGAAACCCTGATCACTTACTGTTTAAAAAAAAAAAAAAATCAATTCATCAATAGCCTCTGCCATCTAAACCACTCCCATAGACAGGTATGGTTTTTGTAGGAGATAAGAATGTAGGGAGTCCCTTTGACCCATTTTATTTTGCATGTGTTTATGTTCATTTTTTGTTTCTGTGCATTTTCAGCTGGTTGATAGGGTGAAGTGACTGCGACCAAACCCAGACCTCCTGTTCTCTTGAGTGACTAAGTGTTCAGTGTAAAAAGCACATTATTTGGGCTCATTTAATCTGCATGTAAACCATTAAGGACTAGAGGCAAAGCCTGTAAGGAAGTCAAGAAAGACAACGAAATAACTACTGAAATACTACTGGTTTTATTAAAGTAAAACGTTTATTTTGTAGGAAAGATCAAGTGTGACTACAAATCTGTACAGGTTGTATAAAACAAAATGTTAAAAACTCTACAAGATAAGTGGTGATTGAAGTGTCTATGCTGTACAGTTTCCTGATCCCTGATTGGTGCTCTGGGCCATCCGTCTGCTTGGTTCCTATGGCAGCAGCATCTCCATCACCTCTGCTAAGCAGAGTAACAGTTTCAAGTAACTGCTATAAATACTATATAAAGACATAATATAAAGCTGAAGTGAATGAGTATCAGGCAATTGGTAAAAGTGGAGAAACTGACCTTAAATCCACATTACTTTTTTTTCCCGCCCATGGTCAGATTCTCATTTTTCTTTTTTTGGACCTGAAATTAAAGCGAGATGTGTTTGTGGACCCCGTGTGGGGAGTGTTCCCATCACCTCCGTGTGTTGGGCTTGGATGGCCCTCCCCAGAGCTCCTCTCACCTCGTTCATGGCATCGTCGATCTGCTTCAGCTCCTCGTATCTGTCCCGCGACTCGCGGAGTGGCTGCACCATCGCCGCCTCGATCTGAGGGAAGAGCTACAGGCACCAAAGGTAGGTCTCCTGCCTCACTCAGGCTGCCTTTGTTCTTAGCAAGCGTCTCATATGTAAGCTGCAACTTACAGCTTTACGTTTGTCCTATTTCACTGTTTAAAATGCAGACAAACATGAGCGGTAACACTTTTTACGAATGCCATGTCTATAAGAATCGATGAACACATCCATAACACATTATAATGCATTCATAAAGCATAATTAAACATGGCTAGAAACATTCATGAAAAGGCACAACATAATACAGTTCAAAGCATCTTTAATTCTCAAACCTGGATTTAATTCTCAAATGCATTATGAAGGTACATACAGTGCATTATAGATGAGAGCTTCAAGTAAAGTGTTACTGAGTGATCAAATAACCAGAGTAAGACACAGTTTGTGTGATTCTCTAAAATTCTTTAAAGAGCACAGGGGTTTAATTATAATCACTGCCAATGTTATATTTATAATGAAACCGCAGGAGATGATGTCGAATATCAGAGGGGAGGTGGGTAGCTTGCAGGGGGGGGCATGTAACTGAGGATTGTAGGAAAGCATTGCACTTTTAATTGGGAAGACAGCCGTGTTCAGCAGGACGCTGCTGAGAGTCACATGATTCTGACATCAGTCACAGTAAGGATGCATCAGGAAATGTGTGGATGATTAGTGTTAAACAGAGTGGATTCTGTACGTCCTCACCTTCATGACGGTCTCAAACATGGGGATCAGGACAAACTTTATGAAGCCGATCTGGGCAGTGGGCTTGGTGACCTTCTCCCTGTCCATGAAGGGGGCCACGGGCAGGCCCTCCAACTTCTCTCTGTCACTCTGGGGGGGGGATGGGGGTGTGAGGCTGTTAAAGGGGAAGCCTGGCAAAAACTCACGTTCATTACCATGACATTTGCATTTATTCTGCAGATGCTTTGCACCACTGAGAAAGTGATGAAGGTTAAGGGCCTTCCTCAAGAGCCCGACGGTGACATCACCATTTCAGAGCACCACCTGTGCAGGATCACTGAGGGGAACCTTGTTGTTTGTTCTGGTCCCACCCACTGTCCACGACTGGCTGACATCAATGTGCCGCCACGGGGTTGGTCAGCATGACTAATTATGCAGTTACTGGCATGCTTTGCACCTCACAGTGTCTATCTCTGAATAGTGTATATTAATATGTATTTATGTTAATACTAAATATCATAACCGTGTAATATTTGCCGTGGATTGCGTGTGTTTCATTAGCACGTAACCGTGAGTGTCATGTAAATTGCTGGCTTCCCTGTCTGTGCTGCTTCTAGTATTAAACCAATAATGGCTGTTGATAATGAGAGCAGCTTCCATTTTAAAAGAGCTCTCACCTCCTTTATTAAGCTGACTCACGCATTCACCACAGTACATTTATTTGCACTGTGCTCCATCAGAAACATTCTGCACCCTCTAAGGTTGTAGTGTGACACAGAACAGAGAAGGTGCCGGTGTTGTTTTAAGTATGTGACCGACTTTTCTCACCGATGTTTTGTCTAGATATTACGATACATATCCACCTTTAGTCTGTCACTGGTCACCTCCTTATTGCAGTGTGTTACAGTTCAGTTACTGTACTCATTCACTTTCCACACTAACACTGTAATGATCCATGCTTGCACGGAGCTGCAGTACAGGTGCGAGCCAGCAGGGCGGCGTGGCAGCAGCACACCTGCATAAAGTACTCCTCCAGCAGGCAGTCCACCCAGGGCTCGGCCACCTCCATGGGCCGCACCTCATTGGAGATATCACAGCATTTGATGAGCACCATCTTCAGCTGTGGGGGCGGGGCCAGGAAAAATAACAAGCAGACAGGTCTGTTAGGAGCGAGTCTGACCAATAAGGAGAAAGCGTGCAGCATGGGAGGCGGGCTCTCACACACGTGACATGCTCCTCATTGGTGAAGTCAAAACTGTCCACTTTCTGCTTGAAGGAGTCCAGGATCTCCCCATGCCGGGCCATGTCAGTGGCCAGGATCAGCGTGATCGTCCCCTGCGGCATGAGTGCACAGAGTCACCCACAGGGCTGCCAATAGGGGGCGGAACCCGGTTCAAGGGGAGCCCAAAAGGGCCCTCTAACCTTTAAATAATTTGCTGGAATAATTTGTCAAATAGATAACAGATAACTTTATGTAGTATTTGTGAATCACAGAAAAGCTTATTTTTCATCTTCCTAATTTTGCTTGACATAGTAGTCAAAGAGTTTTACTTTCCCTCCCTATAATGCAAAAACCGGTTTGGTTTGTCACGCCATGCTAAAGTCAACAGTGTCAGCTTTAGCCAGCCTCTCCCCTTGCGGGCAATCAACAAGGTGGCAGGTGGTGGTGGCTGAAGTGGCTCTTCATTGGTTCTGTAACATACTTCAGCTGTTTTGAAAAGTGCTATATAAATGTAACATTGATTCATTCGAAAGTCACATGCTCAGATAAATGAAAAAGAAATGTTTGTTGTGAATTTTCCAATAGACAAGAAGCTGTGAAGGAATGGTAGCATGTCTCTAATATGCTGGAGGGGCTTCCCTTTCAGTCACGCATTGTGTGTTACAGCCAGTGAGTGACCTGCACGCAGTCGGGAAATGTGTGGGGGGGCCCTTGGAAATTATCATGTCCCCAGGCAGGAGCAAGACAAATAGCTGGCCTGGTCACCCATATATCAAGTCAGACTGATATACAGAATAAACCATGTATCACATGACAGGAAGGCTATAAGGTGACCTGCATGCAAGTTGTAATGCAAGCAAACAAAGACCGATTTGATAGATTATTAGGAAAACACACACAGACAGACCTGCCGTATCTGCTTGAATGTCTCGGGGTCAAAGTTGGAGAAGATGTTGCAGTCAGGCTGGGAGAAGATCTGAAAGGCCACAGCGCAGTGATGGTTCTCCAGGGGGGAGATGTCATTGTAGCGCACTGCCAACTCCGTCCGTGCGTTGATCTGGTACCTGGGGAGTATGGGGGGGGTCAGGAAGAGTGAGAGGAAGAGAACGCGAGGGAATGGATGACAGGAAGTTTGAGGAGTAAATGAAGGAAGCTCTGGACAGGCTCATTTTGAGCAGAACCATAGCGCCCCTGCATACGTGTTGTTGTAACCCGGGTGGTCCAGGTCGTGGCACACAGCAGCGGTTATCAGGATCAGGATGTCCATCTGTGTGAAGCGCTCCTGCGGACACAGGGCGACAGGCCTGCTCACAACACCGCCCCACATCTGCTGCCCTCCTCAGCCAAAAAACAACCATTTCCTATGTGCGGCGCAGTCAGTGCTGCGGGAATCTAACCAAATCACACTTATTTATCCATGCAAGAAAAAACAAACATTCACTTATCCATGGTTCCTTTCCTGAATGGTTGATCATGGTTGGCAGCTTCATGCAATTCCCATAATGCATTTCATCATCTGGACTATGATTATTACCTTTTCATAAGTCTACGGATTTGTGGGAATGAAAAACTAAGTGATTTAAATAGAAGTGATTTAAAAACTACGGGTAAGATTGGTTAATATAAACAAGATCATATAAGAATGTTGTTTAACACCAACTGACAGAGAGCGTGAATGCTGGTGCTCGTGTTGACATGGAGACCAGTAAAATACTGACGAAGGACAGACATTTTTAATACAATGAGGACAAAAACGTCTTTTGGTGATGTCAGAAACCCACAGATACCATGTAAGCCAATTTCCTTTAGATACACAAAGTGTTTCTGTATTTCTTGCATTCCTCCTTGTAGATAACATCTCTGCTGACTCCCTAAGATTTACGGGATACAGTGTGGGCTGGTGGCCACTTCAGGTTAAAACACCAGACCATGTGCTATTTAGCACAAGCTACTGTAGTTCTTTTTTTTCCCCTCTGTGTCCTTAGGCCCAACCTGGGGCCTATATATACAAATTTCTATCTTGAGACAGCTTGAGGGAGTTTGTGAGATCAACAAAAATGCCTTGATAAACCAAAAAAAACGGGAACACATATAATTCTACTAGTGCATTAACACAGCATCAATGCTGCCATGTAGCTGCGACAGGTGTGTTACCTGTAGGCTGCAGAGATGGACCATGCTGTACATCATCTGAGTGACACAGAAGCAGTGGCGGAAGTTGTGAAAGGGGTTGTTCCTGTAGTTATCGTGGATACAGAGCTGCCGCCATGACGATAGATGGAGGGGGGCAGGGGAGGGGGCAGAATGACAGCTCTATTACTCTCAGAGCAGGTTTGACAGAAACTGGGACAGGATGACAGAACAAAATGAGCGCCGATAAACTGTGCCACGCTCACCAGCCACCTCTTCAGGGTAATGGGATTGATGCTGAAGTCCTTGACCAGGCCCAGGTCATGATATATGTGCTCTAAGCAGCTCAGCATCTGGGGCGGTGGACCAGAGTGGCGTTACCACAGGAACAGCAGAGCACAGCGTCCCACCTTCAGTCCTTCAATTGACTGATGTATTAAGCAAGAAAGGTGACAGAACTTTTGTGTGTCCCTAACTTTCCATTTCAGGGCTCAGTGATCATGTACCTCTGAACAATACAGAATACATATGTGTATTTCATTTCAGTTAAATGTCTGTGTACTCCTGAATTATAATCTCAATCAAATCTTGTATCAAATCTCTCATTCAATTCTTTTATGTTTTCTCTTATCATATGTAAGAGTGGCATTATATTAACTTTCATATACACATTTCAAGAAAATTATCTATTTGAATCAAGTATTTTACAGAAAATGTAATAATAACTGGAAATTCCCAGTCACTATGGATGACTGATCCAATCCATATTTAAAGAAATAAGATGGGAAAATACACCACTGACAAAATCCAGTCTAAAAGAGATCGTGCACGGATGAGCTCAGTTGGGTTTTTCTCATCCCAAGATGAGTGACAGCCAGCCTGCATCCAGGAATCATTAAACCTTCACAGAAAGTAATTGGAACCGTTTCTCAATAATCTGTGAAAGACATAAAATACTGCATACCTATTTAAAAAAAAACAATGCCTTGAAGTTACGTAAAAAAATTGGACAATTAGCATATTAAACATTAGAATCAAACCCCACATACTATGTGAATGTAACTGTGACCAAATGTGTTTTTTCCCTTACAGCCACAATGTTCCTCACAGTGAAGAGCCACTGGGCTTTGGGTGTCTCTCTGCTCTCACCTCGTTGGGCTCCCACTGCCAGACATCGAAGGTTGGCTTTCGCAAAGCCTCCACCGTCTCCTGGGAGAGATGGTACTGCACGCACACACGCACACACACACACACACACACACACACGCACGCACACACAGGAAAGAGAGAGACAGAACCGTAGGCTGTCACTTCCGCACCTCACTAGGCTCCCACTGCCAGACGTTGAAGGCGGGTTTCCTGAGGGCATCTATGTTGTCCTGCGAGCTCCCAGCTAACCCACAGTCAGCTGGCTGTGGACACAGCTGCCCACCTGACTGTGGAGGCACCTACTGCTCCTCAAACACCTGTTATGGATGCCAGAGCCTCAGATTCATGGCTTGCAGAGGTATTTCTGAGTTGTCCTGGTCACCCGGTCTGTCCGGGGAAAGTCCATCACAGGAAAATACCTATGCAACTCTCTCCAGCCACCTGCTAAACCCACTAGGGGTTTCTGCCAAATGTACACATCCGTTCACCTGCGCAGATGTTTTACACCTGTATACTGCCATAAGAAGGCCAAACACTGTAACTGCGTACAGAGGCGCGGTACTGGGCTGACGAGCCCTAAAAAATTGGGAACATATTTGGGCTCAATACGATATTGAATGCATATATTTATCGAAACTGAGTTACGACTCAAATCGGGGCTGTTAGGCTATGTTTTATCTTGTGACAAGATTTTTTAGTTCAACTATTGCTTGGTATAAAAAAAACAGTGTGAAAATCACAATAACTGCAAAATCCACACCAATACCACGGCAAAACACCCTTTGTCTCAGTTCCAGTGTAAATACTGTGTTGTGCCTATGAAAGGCAGTATAAGCAACAACCTTAAGCTCTCACCTTGGGGTATGAAGGCATGTCCCTGCGGGGTGTCAGCTTTTTGTTGTCTTCAAGGAAACTACAGCAGACAGGAGGAACACGTCAGCCAATCAAATCAACTGATTAATTGGTCCAGTGGGTAGCAGGTCAATAAGTCAACCAATCAGCAAATGAAGAGAAGGAAAAGGGAACATGAACCGCCTTTAATGTTATACCTTGTTTTATTGGATTTTTGTGGGTGTGAACCTGATTTTACTGGATAGTTCTTGAGTCAGAGCTGTTTTATTATATTTTACTAAGAAATATAGTGTTATTGTGCTGTACGGGATTTTTACATGGCGCAGTTTACATCCTGCTGAAATGTTAACTTACCATGACCACTAAAAATGCTAAGTGCTGAGCTTCCATGTGTTTCCATCTTGCACTGTGTGTGTATCTAAACCGAGTTTCTCAGAGGCCTTTTGTCTGTATGTAAATGGGTAAGGTTTTCTAAACAGGGTCGGGGGAACGCAGACAGCCTCAATGCACCTATACAGCATGTTCCCCCCAGGGTAGCCAATCCAGCTGTGCTCATGAATGCTGAAACGGTAAGTCTGGCCCAGAGGGTCACAAGTGTAACAACCAGCATAAGGACCAGCATGCCCTGCCATGGAAACCAAACGAAAGCTTACAGCACACACTGGGAACAAACCAGTGTAAAAGCCAAGCCCCGAGGGAATGAGGCTAACCAGACTCATTAATAATTATTATTAATTACAATATGGCCTCTTAATAATTTTACTGCAGACATTTAAAAACTTTTAAAATACAAAACTGCAATTTTACTACTATGTTTGTAACATTTAATTTTGCATACATTTTTTTTCCCCCTGTTCATTTTAGATACACACACATATGATATATTTGTGCTGATTGCCGATTGCTTTATGTATGAATATAATATTTCAGGTACCTAACATAAAGCCACAAGGGACCTTAACGGAAAATAATCTTGAACTATGCATTTACCTGTGCATCGTTATTGCCGAAAGGACAGGATTTCAGACGGGTGTCTAACGGCTTCCGAGTGACTGACCTGTTGTTCCGAGATGCCATTTCTTCTCTGAGCTTCTTGATGTCACTGCGACACTTTTCGATCTCCACCACTTTCAGCCCCTCCACTGAGAGTGATACAGGAAAGTTACCAGAAGAGACAAGAAAAAGGCCAAAACAGATCGGAGGATCCCCGAGTAACGAAAGGGAAATGGAAGGAGACAGAGGCTGACAGCAAAGAGACAAGCAGGGACAGGTAAACACGCTGACTCTGTGTGTGTGTGTGTGTGTGTGTGTGTGTGCATGCATGCAGTTGAGAGAGAGAAATCAGGTATATAAACATACTGACTCAATGTGTATGTGTGTGTCGAAAGACAGCAAAGCACATCGTATTCTTCTACAAATAATACGGACAGCCAGACCTGCTTTTGTCAAGCCCAACTTTTACTTTCAATGGACGACAGAGCAAAATGTTTTTTTCACGGCACATTAATAATTTATCTGATTAATATTCACTCTGTAGTATTTTGTAGTTCAGTGTTTCACTTCTATTCAAAATTAGAGCTTCTCCTAATTCTTGGAGCCTTAGTACAATCATTCTCCCTGTTCCTGTCCAGGGGCCCTACTCTCACATCAGGAACATAAGCGTTTTTAGAGCATAAATAGTTACGCACTTCTGAAATACATGTATTCTCCTGTCTGCAGCATGGTCTCATGCCCACAGTGTATATCCAAAAGTAATAAAGTGGGGCCGTGCAAGAAGTCAAATTAATTCATCAAGTAAGAAAAGAGAGTCTTGCCCTCAGTGATTTTGCCTTTGAAAAACATGGAACATGGACTTTTTAATTTACCACTTGCATCTAATTAAAATCCTCAGAATTCCTACGAGACTTCTGTGATTTTGAAAATGAAAGGATGATGGGGAAGCTAACTACGCTTATATTGTGTTTAATAACAAAGCCATATACTTTTTGGGCTTTCGCTTTTTTTTATTTTTCATTTTTATTCAAGTCATGCAAACAAGCAAATATGCCTAGCCAATAGATATGGTGTAAAACATTAGTAACATGGACTGAATGTTTAGGATGCATTGTTGATAAAATAATAATTCAATCAACTACACCAGACAAGCTTATAGGGTACAGTGTAGGCTGCGATGTATTCCAAACCAATTTCTAGTTAATGTCACTGAACCTAAACCCACACACCTACCCCATTAGGCACAGAATGGTTACCATTCAGGTGAGTGTCCTGGTCAGGTAGTTCCTCCATTCTTTGTGCCAAGGCGTAATTGTGTAAAATAAATAAAGTATGGGCTGAGCCCAGATACTCAGGATTTGGCCGGCTGAGTCACACACGACTTGCACATTAATGCTGTGCTTCTGTTTCCTGTTTCTGAACATTTGTTCATTTTCAGCAGGAGGCTTGATGGTAACATGTGTACGGTCTATGACATTTGGGAGGCCAGCCAACTGATAAAATGTTTCCTTTATTGTCCTCCTGTGGTCTTTAATAAAGGCGGTAATGTGGAGCAAAATTTCCTCAGCAAACTGTGCCAAGGGCCTTGACACGAGAGCCTGGGAAATGTGTTCCACGTCAGCAGCCACTGTCTGAAGATTCAGTTGCCAGGACAGACAAAGCGCTTGTCACTTTCATGAGGACTGACAAGGAATTTGGGTGGTTGTTGGACTGGACAGCCAAGAGTAGGCATAGAAAGATTAGTGTTTCACGATCCACTTGGAAAGATGCATTGCATTCCGTGGCCATCACTGGAAGTAGATCAAGACGAGGGCCGAGAATTATTGGTCGTCTCTGCCTTTGCCCCCTTTTCTGTCTGTCCCAGTCTCGCAGGAACACAAGCACATGCAGCATAGGCATGGCGACTTAGGACTGCAAGGACACATAACTTCCTTTGAGCATATTTATAATTATCTTAATTGTCACATATGCTGAATCCAGCCTTAGGGTAACATACTTCCATTCATCCACTTTCTGTATCCACTTGTCCTGTTCAGGGTCCCAGGGGCCGCAGCCTGTCCCGGACGTTACGGACGGGAGACAGGGAATAACCCAGGATGGGGTGCCAACTCATCACCGGCACTGATAATATAATTATATATACTGATATATTTCTATATACCATGGTGTTACATAAATTATTCACATGCATTTTGGTTTATAAAATTAATGTCTACAGATATAATAAATGTAAAAAGTTTTGGTATTTTGCTTTCTAAAAAATGTAATTTAGCCATGTAGAGGTGCTTTATTTAATATAACCAGAGTACATAGATGGGAAAACTTAAGTCAGTGGCAGGATGTACATGTCATTTTTATGTGACATGCCCATATAGTGATGTTTCTCCATCAAAACTGCATATCTACCTTTGTGGTGCAGACTTAAGTCAATAGTATTCGCCTAAGTCAAAAAATAGCACACAGCTACATGCATTGACTTAAGACCATGGTAGAATAGGGCCCTAGGGTAGATGTAAATTTGGAATATTTCTTTTTGGCCACAGGTTATCATAGCTGATCTTGGGGACTTTATCTTTAGGATAAGTCTCCACAGTGAATAGGCCTCCTACACATTCTAGTGGAGACAAACAGTCTCCAAGGAAACGGAGGTTAGGATGGGTTTCCGTGGAAACGGTGACACAATGGCATCCACAATCATGTTTTACATTTGTGAATTTGCCACCCTGGAGAACCCAATTCACTTAACGAAAGCACTATGCACAGCTCACACTATGTGGTGCCAAACCTGGGTCCTGCACACATACAGACTAGTATAATGGAGTTTATTGTTTACAGGTGCAGAGCAATGTGGGATAATAGTGGAGTTAGTTGTACTTTGGACCAAGGGTCAGGGGGTCATTGTCCTACTGTAACATTGCTGTTGCTGGTAGAACATAGTAGACCCATAAAATGTTTCTGAGAAGCAGCTGTGTAAATGTATGACAGGGCACAGATTTGTGAGCCCCAGAAAAAGACACTGATCCAGCAAACAAGTCCCATCATATATTACAATAAACAAAACCATTGTTAGAGTGATGATGACAAACCCTTGGTTTTATATGACTCTTCTGTCAGGTTCTCTTGCAAGTTGGTGCCAGTGTTTACTGATCTTCATACATATTACCCCAAGGGACCTGAACATTAGACAGATTTTCTAAAAGTGCATACATATGCTCACACACAAAAATATACCTACAAGGAACCATAACAGAATTTCCAAAATGTTTAAAAGCTACTCATTTTCAGACAGGCCATAATTTTATAATATTTGGTTTTCCTCTAAAAGCACAAAAGGCATGAGGTGTTTTTATTTTATCCTCCCTTTGGTTTTTAGGTGTTTACAATGTTTTTTCTAATCGAAATGTACCTTATTAAAGCCGTGTGACACAGACACGGGGAACTACTGGAGATTCTGTGCATTTTCACGGCCAAAGCGGCGACACTCACGCTCGACTCTTTTCTCCAGCATGGCCAGGCGGTTGGTCACCTCGGTCTTCAGCTCGTTGATCTTGAACGCCCTGTGGAGAGGCACATGGCGAGAGGATCAGCGGCCGGGGGCGACCCCGCGGGAACAGCGGCGGCAGCGGTTATGTCAGCAAACGCCGCCTACCTGGAGAACTGCTCAGCCACCTGGGTCAGAACGTTCTGGAAGAGCTCCTCCTTATCTGGATGCCAAGCAGAGCAGCATTAATCTCACAGCACTCCTTCATGAGGATAAACTATGCAAAAGGGAAAGGAGCTGCGGGTGTGAGCCTGTGAAGGCAGCAGCATGCCGTCCTGCCCTGTCATACAACCCTCTCCTTCTGTCAAGGAGCACGGTACATAATATCACCCTAACACACATGCACACGGTGCCCTGGCTGTGTTATATAAATCGGTCTGTTTATTTAAGGTGAAGGGACAGAGAGAGGGAGGGGGGGGGGAGCGACAGTGGCAAAGAGAGCGAGGGGAAGCAGAGCTTAATACATGTGAAGAGACTTATCGGGTGTTGGCCCCACTCACCCCCCTGAATGCCAGATGAGTCTCCACAAAGAACCTACCCTTATATAAGGCCTCCAAGCATTAATTAGCTCTCTCTCTAACACACACAGAGCTCAGGGACTGAAGCAACAGCCTGCCATTAGATGACAGCTCTGCCATGGACAAAGGTCATTCAAAGCTGGAGCTGCGAGAACGCGACACTTTTTTGTGCACTATTATACCAACAGAGGTGAGAGGTCAATGGCCAGGTCTGTGAGTCCAGGAAACCAGCAAGCAAGTGCGTCATCGCCTGGAAACTTATGCTGTCAGGCAGCCATAACTCATGCAGCTGAAATATGTGTGTGGTGAGGAGAAACAGCCGAGGTCCTATACTGCTAGACACCTGACATTAAATGCGTCCCGGAACAATCTGTTTGATTTTATTACACACAAACTGGTGATGTTGTTGTTTAACACAAATATTTTGTGGGTTTTATTGGTTATTTTTTGATTATTCCCAGTAATGGCTATAATTTACTATTTTTCACTTATCGGGTTTTGATTAGAATCAAAACTGGCCCTCGATTCCAAATCCAGGTCTTGTTTTCAGTTCTCCCAGGTGACTGGTTCTGACTGGGCAGACGCTTCATACCTGGTTCACAGGTAAACGAGGGCTGGAAAACCAGCAGTGCTTGAGCCCTGAGGACTGTGATCTGAATAGCCCTGGAATAAGGCTCTGAAACTCAGTACAAAACTGAGAGCCCATATATTCCTTATATCTAATGTGATTGTGATGTGTACAGTGATAGGTCAAAACACATCATACTTGTTAAGTGTGGTCTGGACACTGACTAAGGCACTCACCAGCCAACTGTCCACCAGCCACAGGAACCACTTTGTATGGTGACCTTCAACACAAGAGTATAGAGATGTGTCACTAGAACAACCAGTGATGTTTCATCAAAACAAACCCCCCTTCCCACCAGCTACAAGGAACCACCCCCCACTCATGTTCAAAGCCCTGGCACCTTCTACAAGTGTGTGCAAACCTTGGTGGGAAGTGTGTGTGTGTGTGTGTGTGATTAGGTTTATAGTACATTGTGGGGACGAAATGTCCCCCACAATGTGATAAAAGTCTGATATTCTGATGATGAAGGGAACCATTTTTCAGGTCCCCACAAAGATCTGTGACTGCAATCAAAAAACTAAAAATCATATCATATCTTGTTTGGTTACTTATGGTTAAGGTTAGGGCTGGGTAGGGGTTAAGGTCGTCATGTTGAGATTAAAGTTTTCCCTGTAGAAATGAATGGAGAGTCCCCACAAAGATATAATTACAAATCTGTGTGTGTGTGTGTGTGTGTGTGTATGTATGTGTGTCTGTCACTGTGTGTGTGTGTGTGTGTGTGTGTGGGTAATGTATATATTACATTGTGAGAACAAACTGTCCCCATAATATGATAATGTGATTAAAAACATGTTATTGTGATGCTGTAGGGACCATTTTAGGGGAAACTCAGTTTTATAAATATGTGTGACTGCAGTCAAAAAACTAAAAATGCCCAAAGTCTTATGTTTAGTTTGGTTACTTATGGTTACGGTAGGGCTGGGTAGGAGTTAAGAGTTGGGTGAGAAAGATGGGCAGACCCATCCCATCCATTATGGGATGTCCCTTAGCCGACTCCCAGAAGGCAGTGCTGTGACAGGTAGCGCAGGTCTTTCTGTGAACCTGCCTCTCAGTGCATCTCTGTAAGTGCATGTGAGTTTGTGTTTTTTACAACAGTTATGTGTTATGGGGACCTTCATGTCCCTAAGCAGAAAGCCTGTGGGACCTTTTTATTTTTATTTTATTTAACCATTATTTAACCAGGTTTGTCCCATTGAGATCACAGATCTCTTGCAAAGGAGACCTGGCCAAGGTAGCAACAACACAGTGTCAGTACAAAATCTTACATAAAATTACATAAAAACATACTCAAACCATACACCTGCACACAGACAACGTAGACTTCAGAGTTTTGACCAAAACTTTAAATTCATTCAAGGGTATTAAATTTTGCATACGAAGTTCAGCTTGAAGAGTGTTCCATGTGCCAGGTGCTGAAAACCTAAAAGCTTTCTTTCCCAATTCAATTCTTGGGGTATATCCAAATGAGAGAAACAGCATCTTATCTCTGCTGTTTGTCTAGTTTATCCCTTTTTTAATCAATTCTGATTGCTTGAAGTTAAAAATCTTCATGAATAGAGTGGAATACAAAGACTGGTCAAACGTATGTGGATGCCTGCTTGTGTACTTATGCATATGTGAGGTACATGTACGGTTCAGAATGCTGGGAGGATTCTACAAGACTACAATATTCAAGTACATTTACTTTGTTCAGCAGATGTGTGGCCACTTGTGGTCTCCAGTATTCATGTAAACACGTCTCTGTAATTACGGTGCATAAGGCACAGGTACTGGCTGTGCGGAATGCAAGCAGGCAGGGGTAATTCTCCTACCTTTCGGAGTTGTGTGGCATGGTGGGGTCAACGGACACCATAGCACCAGTGACATCCAGCAAGAAAATGGTAGTGTTCCTGTCAGACACAGCAGGCGAATACTAACATTTCACAGAATGGCCAAAGCAAAACAGATCATAGCTTTTTGGTGGAGTGAAGTTTTAGCCTACATAACTTAGACATTCTTATCTGAAAGAATACCTTTACACATTTTAGGCATTTTACCCCAATAGCAACACTTGACAGAGGGATGACATACCCTATATCAACAAAAGTACTGGGATACACCTCTTAATCATTGAATTCAGACCCATTGCCACAGGTGTATAAAATCAAGCACCCAGCAATGCAGTCAGGTCTACAAACATTTGTGAATTAATGGGTCATTCAGAAAAGCTCAGTGAATTCAAGCATGGTCATAGGATGCCAGCTTTGCAATAAGTCAGCTTGTGAAATTTCTTCCTTGCTAGATATTCCACAATCAACTGTAAGTGGTATTATTGCAAAGTGGAAGCGATTAGGAACAACAGAAACTCAGCCACAACGTGACAGACCACGTAGGGTAACAGAGTGATATCGCCGATTGCTGAGGCGCATGGTGCATAAATGTCGCCAAAGCTCTGTTGACTCAATAACTGCAGAGTTCCAAACTTCCTCTGGCATTAACTCCAGCACAAAAACTGTGCCCTGGGAGCTTCATGGAATGGGCTTCCATGGCTGAGCAGCTGCATGCAAGCCTCACATCACCAAGCGAAATGCCAAGCATTGGATGGAGTGATGTAAAGCATAGAATGTAGAGTGACAAGTCACAGTTCTCTGTCTAGCTGTCTGATGGATGAATCTGGGTTTGGTGGATGCCTGGAGAACGTTACCTGCCTGACTGTATTGTGCCAACTATAACATTTGGTGGAGGAGGGATAATGGTATGGGGCTGTTTTACAGGGATTTGGCTAGGCCCTATAGTTCCAGTGAAGGGAACTCTTAATGCTTCAGCATACCAAGACATTCTGGACAATTCTATGCTTCCATCTTTGTGGGAACAAAAGGCCCTTTTTTGTTCTAGTATGACTGTGCCTCAGTGCACAAAGCGACGTCCATAAAGACACAGTTTGGTGAGTTTGGTGTGGAAGAACTTGACTGGCCACACAGTGCCCTGACCTCAAATACCTTTGGAATGAACTAGAACAGAGGTTGTGATCCAGGCCTTCACATCCAACATCAGTGCCTGATCTCACAAATGCTCTTCTGGATGAATGGGCAAAAATTCCCACAGACACACTCCAAAATCTTGTGGAAACCCTTCCCAGAAGAGTGACAGCTGCAAAGGGGGGACCAACTCCATATTGATACCTATTGATTTAGAATGGGATATCATAAAATTTGGCCTGTTGCCCCAATAATTTTGTCCATATTATACTAATTAATGTCAAATGGACCGGCATCCAAACCAGGGTGTTCTGGGATAAGCTCAAGGCTCGTCATGACCCTGTAATGGGTGATGAAAAATGGAAGAATGGATAATGGACCATAAATAATTCACTAAAAGGTCCAAACAATGGAACTTCAGAAATGACATGACCGT